ATGAATATTCTCCTCTCATGCAATTTACCGCCTCTGAAAACTCACTGGAGGGTCAGCTAGCGGTCAAGTCCCATCTTGACAGCACACAAGAGCCCAACCTATAGGATGCGCTGGTGGGCTAGCAGGTAAGGAAATGGGCTGCCAACCCAAAAGCTGGGGGTTCGAACCCGTCAGCTGTCCTGCAGGAGAAAGATGGGCAGTCTCCTTCCTCCCCTGCAATTTACTGTCTCTGAAAAGCTGCAGGAGAGTCAGCTCTGTGTTGGTTTCGACTGGACATCATATAAAAAAAACAGTAACATAGAAACAGGTATTCTCGATGATGGTAATGGAGTCCTATCAGAGAGTAATGTGCCCTGACCCTAATCACGTCTCAGGTGTAATAAAAAAAAGGCAGAAAAAACACAGCAGGAAACTCCTAGAGGGAGAAGACAAACGGTATCTGATGAAGACAGGTACATGAAACTTCAAGTCCGGTAACTCCAATGTGAAAGAGACAGCTCTGCCTAGGGCCACCTCCAGGATGTGGACTTCTGGGCTCTCGAACTGAAAAGCGACTGTCGGTTCTTTAATGCCATTCACTTGTGGGACTTCACAGGTGGACAGAGACATGACTGCAGAACTAAAGCAACCGAACTTTCGACACTGAATTATTAGGTATGTCACCAAAAGCATGCGAAACCACAAGAAAACCAGACTTCGTCAAGACGGGATTTTGTACAGCAAAGGACTTCCTCAAGAAAGTGAAGAAACGACCTACAGAATGAGAGCAAATGCTCAGGTACTAGATATCTATAAAGGCTTACTAGCCAGAAGATATCCTTTAAAATAAACAAACAAAAACTCCTATCATTCAAAACAAAAATGACAAAGAGCTCAATGAAAAAGTTGTTGTTGTTGCTGTTAGGTACCATTTAGATATAGGTTTACTGGTCTAGGTAGACGCGTCACAGGAACACAATCCAGAAAGTTATCAAGGTTCATATGACCGACAACATGAAAAGAAACAATATTGAAGGGGTTGAGGAGGGAGCGAACACCACGAGTGTCAAGGTCTCTATCACAGAAAAAACAACTGAAAGAGCAGAGGAGAGCAGAAGCGCAGTTGGCAGGCTGATCTAGACGCAGAGAGGGCACGCGGTACCTTTTGGCGCTCGTGGAGAGTTTCGCGGCCGTTTTGCTGGATATCTTCCCCTCCTTCTTCTTGGGCTGAACTTGCTCTCGTTCTGGTTCCGGCTGAACGCTCTCCCGCTGGTCTCCATCCGAACTCCCCCCACTTGTGCTGGGACTGTCATCGACCCTTTGTGCCTCAGTGGACATGTTAGATCCTGGGTTAGAGAAGGAAAAAGCAGTTATTCAACTGGGGGTAAAGGTGGGAGGTGGGGAAGCTCTACAGGTGAGGCTCATTGAAACCGGTCAATCACAGTGTAAAAGGGTTAAAGTGGCCATTTAGAAATCACTTTGTTGTCAGGCGCTGCCCAGCTGGAAACGACTGACCGTTGACCCTCCAGCGGAGATTCAGAAGCAGTAAATCGCATGGGAGGAGACGGCCTTTCTCCCCCGGAGCAGCTGATGGATTTGAACCATCTATCTTTGGATTTGGTAACAATCCCTTTACTCACTAGGCCATCTGAGCTTCTGTAAGTTGTTTTCCATTTATGGCTTGAGGGTTTCCTACTACTTCTCTGTATCCTCTCAAAATGTATTGACGAACAAAATGAAAACTCACAAGGCTTGTAAACATGATGTTCACAGAAACATTGTTTGTAAGAGCCAAAAAGCAGAAAGCGCTCAAATGCTCACCAACTGATGAGTGCATAAACAGAGTTAGACCCACGTGACGGATGATGACTCAACTGTCAAAAGGAATGATGCAATGATGCCTGTTATCACGATCATAAACAAGCCAGTCACAGTGCATCTCACGACTGCATTCAAATGAAATGTCCTGCATGCGTAAAGGACAAATCCAGACAGCAGGTTAGCGGTAGCAGGTGGGGGTGTGTAAGAAGCCACTGCTAATGGTTACAAACGTAAGTATTCTAAAATTACGCATCACTGATGTTGCCTAACTCGGTAAATACTCTAAAAATGGCACATCTCAAAAGGGTGAATCGTACAGTGTATGGACTAATATATCAATACGGCTGCTCTTCAAAGACTGTAGTGGACTTGAGGGTAAGGAGGTGCGCTGCCAACCCAAAGGTGGACAGTTGGAATCTCCTCCAGCCGTCCTGCAGGGTAAAGGAGGGCCATCTCCTCTGAAAACCCGCTGGGGGGTCAGCTGCACGTCAGCTGCCACACACGGACAATGCTTTGGCTTCTTTTTTTATTATTAATTTTAATGCCAGTTTACAGAGACTTAGGGTTTCCAGTCATTCATTGATGCACTTTTCTCCCTGCCCATCCCTCCCCTCCAGTTCACTCTTCTCTTTGAGAAGTAAAAGAAAAATTCTTCCGTTGTTATACAATCCCTCCCCCAAGTCCACTCCACTATGCAGTCTTCATTCTGGACTCCCGTCATGACAATAATACCTAATCATATATCCCTTTTAAACAGTTCTCACCCTCATCTGCTTCAATGCATTGGCTTCTTATAAAAAAGAAGGTCCGTGGGCCTACCCACCACTGTGCCAGGCCCGTGACAATGGGAAACACGGTCAAGCGAGCCAACCCATTAAGTGTTATATCATACAAGTTCAAGTAAGCAGTCTAGGAGCAGAGAAATGAGGCACTTTCACATCCATCAGCAAATCTTCAGAAATCGGCCTGGGTTAAAATCCTATAAAGCAGTCGATTGTCTGAAGTAACCTTTGTGAAGGACTCAAAGGTCTGCACGGATTCTAAACAAAAACGAGGCCACCGGACAGGGTGAGCCCTGACCCTGCTGTAAGCCAAGCATGTGCGTGTCACCAGACTGACCGAGACACCAGGGGCTTCAGGAAAACTCCGACCTCTTCCTCCCCAAGCCCACCCCACAGACGGGATGAAATGGCCTTCAAGCTTTCAGATCCCCTCTGCTCTGACTTCAGGCTCCAGAGGCAGCTGGTTTCCAAGTCAATTTCCTCAATACCTTGTTGAAGTTGTTAGCTGCTGTCTGGTCAGCGAGGACTCGGCAATCCTACGAATAACAGACGTGAATCGTGTCCTGTCCTGTGCCGTCCTCACCATCTCAGGCAAGCTCAAGGCCACGGTTACAGTGTCTGTGACTAGCTATCTTGTGGACACTCTATCACATTCCCAGCTTGACGTCCTTCTCCGAGGACTGGTCCCTCCAGACAACATGTCCAAAGTGTGTGAGATGATGGTGCACAGTCCTTGCCTCTAAGGAGCACCTCACTGTCCAGACAGTTCCCACATGGCCACAAGCAGGCGGCCGAGAGGCCAGAAGCTGTGCTGCAATCCCTAAGGCACACAGTTCGAGGCCACCAGCTGCTCCGTGGGAGAAGGATGGGCAGTCTCCTCCTGTGTGATTAACTGCCTCTGAAAACCCACCAGAGGGTCAGCTAGGGGTGACTTCTGACTCTATGGGACACAACAACAACAACAACAACTACAATCTTAATAGAGGAAACTGGCCTCTTTCGCCCTCTGGGCACCTAGTGAATTGAATCCCTAGCCTTCTGGGGGGCAGCCTGATGCCACAGGACTCCTTGTAACAACCAGACACAAGGAAATGACCGCCAGGGGGAGTGAACTGGCTCAGCTGTCATTCTATCAAAATCAATTTCTGAGTCTGAGTGCTGTGGAAACATCCCCTGTGACACAAAAAGTAGCTTAGAATGTTCTGGCAAATCCAGAACTGAACTGACAAAGCCAGCTGCCTCGAGTCTAGGCAGACGTGTGTCTGTGAGCACCTTCTCAGACACTGGTTCTTTTAAAATGCAAAAGTACAAGCACAAATACTGATCCTGGGCCATTGCTGTTTCTTCCACCTTCTCTCAAACTAATGTTCTTGTGGTTGTTGTTGTTGTTATGTGCCATCGAGTTGCCTGCGACTCATAGTGACCCTATGTACAACAGCCCTAAACTCCGCTCTGTCCTGTGCCAATCGCACTGTCTCTGACACTCCCATCCCAATTATCCCAGTCACTGAATCAATCCACCTCATAGAGGGCCTTCCTCTCCTGCGCTGTCCCTCCACCCTCCCAAGAATGATGTCCCTCTCCAAGGACCGGTCTCTCCTCACAACATGTCCAAAGTATGTTAGACGGAGCCTCAGAATCATTGCATCCAAGGAGTCATCCGGTTTAAACCTTTCCAGGACAAATCTGTTTGTTTTCCTAGCAGTCCATGGTATTCTCAATACTCTTCTCCAGCACCACAGCTCAAAGGCATAAATTCTCCTTCTATCCTCCTTGGTCACTGTCCAACTCTCTGATGCATAACAGGTGATTGCGAAGACCATGGCCTGTATTAGACGCACCTTAGTCTCCAAAGAGACACCATTGCTCTTCAGCACTTTGGAGAGGTCCCTAACAGCAGACTTTCCCATGGCAATGCGCCTTTTAATTTCCTGGCTGCTGGTGCCAAGACTGTTGACTATGGAGCCAAGCAAACTAAAGCTGTGTACAAATCTCAATCTCTTCGCCATCCATCCTGATGCTGCCAACTGGTCCAGTGGTGACAAAAAAAACAAAGCTACCGATTTTTCAGAAGTGCCGTTAATGTCAAAATGCCTGTTTTGTTATATACCGACCTGTGGAGCTGGGACTGACTTATAGCTCACCCTCCAGTGGGTTTTCCCGAAGCAGTAACTCACAGGAGAGGAGAGAGCCCATCTTTCTCCAGCGGAGCTGCTGGTGGATTCGAACTCTCTGCCTTTGGGTTAGTATTGGACCGCTTTACCAGTAAGCCACCAGAGTTCCCTAATGCTCTAAGTAGTGCCCCTAACAACGAAACAGGTATCTTTAAAAGGAAAAATCCATTTGCTCTACAGAGGTAACTCGTGGTTGCTGTGATGCTAAACACTGTGATACTGATGTGTCAAATGTGATAATGGCCTATTCATGGTGGACAGTGTTTGGTGGAGCTCCCCGATTCAAACAGACTTGGAAGCAGGAGTGGCATCCCCTTCTGAAATGGCCTGCCTCCGGAAACTCTATGAAAGTTATACAAGTGTTCAGGTCTTTCGTTCATAGGGCCACTATGAGTCGCCTACAACTCGACAGCAATTAACAACAACAAAAGTAAAAATTGAACCAATTTATTTTGAAAAGGACCCTGTATTAAACACAATCAAATTAGGATTTGAAATAATGCTTTGTTGCTATGTTGGTTGTTGTTGTTATGTGCCATGGCCTGTTCTGGACCTTGCTCTATCCTGAGCCAATCTTACTCTCTCTGACACACCTACCCCATTACCCCAGTCACTGAATCAATCCATCTCATCAAGGGTCTTCCTCTCCTGCGCTGTCCGTCCACCCTCTCAAGCATGACGTCCCTCTCCCAGGACTGGTCCCTCCTTGCATTGTGTTTGAAGTAGGTCATATGGAGCTTTGGAATCCTTGACTCCAAGGAGCAGCCTGGTTTCACCCTCTCCAGGACAAACCTGTTTGTTCTCTTAGCAGTCCATGGTATATTCAACACTCTTCTCCAGCACCACAGCTCAGAGGCGCATGAATAATATAACCAGGTTGATGCCACCATAAATTCTTTTCTTTGTATAATTAGTCCAAGCACAGCCAGAGAACACAGCTGAAAAGCCCCTGCACAGAAGATCAGAAGTGGTGGTGTTTGGTGTCGATGAGTCAGCTTTCCCTGTCAGAGGGCCTATGCACAACAGAACACGGCCCAGGCCTGCTCCGAACCTAGGCAAGTTCCTAACACAAACCTTCACTGGAAACCTTCTGGGGAGCTCTGGTGGCCTAAAGGTAAGAGGCTGCACTGCAATTCCAAAGGCTCTTGGTTCGAATCCACCAGCTTCTCCAGGGGAGAAGGATGGGCAGTCTCCTCCTGTGTGAGGAAAGGCCACTGAGAAGCCACTGGGAGGGTCAGCTATGGGTCAGTTCCAACTCCACGGTACGCAACAAACAACAGTGGGTTGCCGGTGAAATGAACTTGAATGCGCTTTAGAAGATTGGGAGAATCAGGGTGCTCAGAGAGGTGTCAGGTCAACTCCCAACGGGGAATGCCTTCACAGGGACACTGTTCACATGTCCACACCTCCACCGGCACCTCATTGCAGTACAAAAGCCCTCCCCACCCCCCACAGGTCCAAACAGGACAGGTCCCTCCCAGGCAACTCTGACATACACTCAGGGGGAGCTCAGCTGGTACTCACCCCATAAACGGAGTCAGTCCCCACAGCTGTGACATCT